CAAGGTTTTGTCATCATTTGCTGTTATGTTAAACTTATATTAAAGTTTTTCTTCATTACCCATTAAAGCCGTCTCCAGCCATTATTACACTTCATATGTTTCCATTAGTTGCGTTTGGGAAAGAACAGGTGTAAGGATTAGGTTTGGAAATAAAATAAATTACTGTTTGCTTGTTGTTGTTTTTTTTTTCTTCTTCTTCTTATCACACATTTAAAGCATGTCTAGGTTTTGGTTAACTGCTCCTGTTGGTCAAAACACCTAACATCAGTTTAATAATAACATGTTTATGTAAATCCTTGCTCACTTCCTCGTTTACTACACAACTACCCCCGGGTGGCTCAGCGGTAATTCAGTGGACTTATAACGCTAAAAATAAGGTTTCGATACTCGTAGAGGGCAGAACGCAGATACCTGATATATAGTTTTGTGCTTTACAAAACTACACAAGTTTGTAGATTTGTATCTAGTATTATAACTAGTTGAATAGATCGTAGCAGCAAACAAGCACGGTATGGTATATATTTGATTTCCATTCATATCCATTTGAGGTATAAAACCTGATATTCAATAACGCAAGGAACAAGGATCGTACAGGGTGGCCCAAAAGTAACATGACTCGGATACGTTACAGAGGTACTGGGTGATTTGTCAGTCAACAGCTTCCACGATGAAATAACCCTTTTTGAACTGAATTATTCCAATCTCATTTACGTTTCTGTTTCCGAACAGAGAATGCTACCAGGAAATACACTTATATATATATATAGAAAATAAAGTGCAGCTGAACCTATTTGATAAAATCATGTAATTTAAAATTCCCAATTTGTGACTGCCCTCGCCAAATAATGTGATGCCAGAAGTTCTGTTAAAAGGTATGATAATCTCACAAATCACGAGATAATTAAGAATGTGTAACAAAAGCTCTTTCTTCGCGTATAATGTTGAGCTATTAAACGATAATTTTTTTATTTAACGGGTCCAATAGCTTAGAAATCAGTAAATTCTTTTAATTATTTTATAATACATTTTATGACTTATTAAAAAGTAAATTATTTAGAAACAATTTGAATGCAATTATTTTTAACTTGAAATATTAATTATCTAGAGGACGCTAATACAATTGCATAATTGGGGCGGAAGAGCTAATTTCAAACAACTAGGCGTAGCTTAGTTAACTCTAACTTTGAAGATTAATATTTAGTTAACGGAGAGGGATAGAGGCAACAAAACTATAGAGGTAGGTTTGTAGTTTATAACAATATTATATGTTATTAAATCGACCAGCTTAAGCTCTTCCGGTGTGTAGTTGAAATACTATCGTACAATCTTAAAACAAACAAAAAACTATAATAGGCCTAATACAAAAATGGTTGTAACTGTAAAAACCTGCTATCCAATAACCCAAGAAACAGGGTGACCCAAAAGCAATGTGACTGGTTATAGAAATACTTGGTGTTTTCAACTGCTTCATTATTCTAATCTTATTTACTTATCTATAACAAAACTTTCAGTAGGCCTACACTTGGATCGGAAGGGTTAATTTCAGGCTATGAAAAACAACCAAAAACTGGGCGTCTTAGTGAAAAAGATTATTGCAAATGTGTAACTATGATAACAGTTATTTTAGACGCTTCGTATAAACCTATTAATTTGTAATTTGTTTTTATAAACATGTTATTACAATTTGTTCTTTACCGGATATTTGTTCGGCTATTTAAAAAAAAATTCGTTATTACGTTATTATAAATATTAGAATTAGTATTATGTGTATTATCTACCCATCGGTTGTATTTATGTATTGCTCCAACTCTAACTAATAGATAGTATTGAACTGTATTCGACTTAATTATGAGTCCCTTTCCGAGGGTCTTCCGACAAAATTTACCCCGAGCCCCCAAGTCGTAAATTCGGTTCTGTTAATACTAAAGTTTTGAAAATTGTAATTAGTTATATTGTATAATGATCGTTTCTTTGTGATGTTGTGCGATTTATAACTTGCAGACTCACGATTTATTAGGATTTTACGCGATTCGAATGTATTTATTTAAGTTCGCGTTTATATGAATCGAAATAACTTATTTCAGTTACGTTTTTTTTTTTTATCTTTACCGATTCTGAAATATTAACATATTTCTAAGAGCGACGAGCATTTAAAAGCACGTTGTCAGTGTTACAGGAAAAAGAGTGAAACGGATAGATAGACAGATCAGTAAAATGGCTGCAATCATTTTTATGTCATTTAATTGCTGTCGACTAATAACCCTTATTATTCATATTTTCAACTCGGAAACAAAGGACATGTTGAAATAATATACAGTACATAACAAAACTGCATAAACTTAAACAAAACATAATTAAATCTTGTATACGACGTACTGATCATACGCACTACGTACTGAAATCATACACACGACACACGAAAAATCATATACACGACACACGGAATTCATATATACGACATGCTAATATTTTATACACGACACACGGAATTCATATATAGGACACGCTGATATCTTATATACGACACGGAATTCATATATACGACATGCTAATATTTTATACACGACACACGGAATTCATATAGAGGACACGCTGATATCTTATATACGACACACGGAATTCATATACAGAACATCCTGATGTAATATACACGACACGTAAAAATGATATACGGGATATTCTGAAATCGTATACAAGGTTAGTGACGTCATAATATGAAATATTCCCACATCAAAGAGTATAAAAGAGAAATGTTCATTAGCTTGCTTCATATTGTTAAGTTACTTACTTCCGGTGTTGGAGGTTGGAGGTTCGACACACTTGACAAAACCCAATTCCACATAACTCTGACACGCCAGACCCGGAAGTACGAAGTACGTAGCCAGCAGATCCCCGAATGATCCATCATCTTGTTGCTGAGAGAGTAAATAACGTAACGCTTGTTTGAAGTCCCAGCCGTGTCCGTTGTCCTCTCCTGCTAGGAATGCCTGTATGATAAGAAAACAAAGAGAAAATCTAAACACAACTTGTAATACCAGTGCTGCCCACCGTGGGGCAGGGGACAGTCGGGTTAGTTTTTTTCGATTTTTGTTAAGAAAATGATGCTTATTGAACCTCTCAATGGTCCAGCTGAGTTATATAATGACACGAATAAGATTACCACCTCCATTTAGTTAAGAACGATGTTTATATTTCGCCATCATGTGCTTGCGAACTGAACTATCTACCCCACTATTTTCAAGGGCAAGGCGTGGCCTAAAGAGTTTACATGCCAAACTGTGATTCGGAGTGTTCATGTTTTGCTTTCCGTTATCTCAAAATCGGGCTCCTCATTCTGGGACTTCCGGTGCATTATAAAAGTGGCAGTCAAATCCTACTACTCAATTAAGGTTGCCCAAAGGTTGGTGGTTAGTACTGTTGACTAGCTACCTTCCGTCTAGTCTGTCTGTTCAAAATTTGGGATGGTTAGCGCAGATAACCCTTGTGTAGTTTTCTGTCAGTTTTCGGAACAAACAAATAATCCTTTAAGACTATTTCTTTGACTTAAAAGTTTGAAATATCTATAAGTCAATACTTCGTTAATTTTCTCTTTTCCGGGCTCATCACAAAATATGCATTCACTGTTTATTTTGTTATTATTAAGATATTTGAAAAATTGCAAGAACGCGGTGTTGAAATATAAGCACTCTCAAGGTTTTTATTTTATATTTGACGTTCCAACTTTGTAATCCTTGCCTTACCTGTACTACAAGTCCAGAGGTGTACACGTTTCCAAAGCTTCCATCTGGTTTCTGGATTTTCTTGAACGACTTCAAAGTTTCCGCTATATTTTTGCTGATATTTGTGTAATGTTGCTTTCTTACAACACAGGATAAAGCCAACACAGCCATAGCTTGAGTATCTGATAAATATATATAAAAAAAAACTGTGTTATTATAACAATATATATATTTATGCCATGCTTGTACAAGATTAACGTACCCAAACAAGATATTGATAGATTAGATTTTAAAACCGCTATATTTGTTTTTATTTCATTTTAAGGCGGTATTGGTTAGCTAACAAACTTTGTTAAGCCTTATTTCGGTTCTCAATCTGTTATCCGCGAGCTCCCTTCAAAGGAAGCGACAGTATATTATTATAGATCCCATTGTGGTGTGAGGATGTAAAAGTAAAAAGTTCAGAAGATTCGCAAACAAAAAAAGTTTGAGAACCACCTGATCTTAGTACTTTACTGTTCTTAGTGTAATATACCTTTAAACAGTAATGATTGCCTTTTGGTGATTATGACCCAAATAAATGTTGATATATATACCTGTCCAGAAGTGAGCACCAGCCTTGGGTGGAAGTATATCCAAAAGTTGTCCAATCCTTTCATCTGACAATTTTCTTCCAGCATTGCAGAGAGATAAAGACTCTAACGCTAACGAATAGTTTGATGCTGTAAAATTGTATTCCAGAAGCATTTCTGTCAGATCCGTGTCGAAGTAATTTCTTGGATTATGACAACTTCCCAAAAGTCCGTGAATGTAGAGGGCTAGTTGACCTGCTGACAGCGTTCTTCCGTTAGGCCTAAAAAATTAACCCAACAAGACACAGAAACAGTAAACCATAAAGTTTTGGCTCAGTTATAACGTTATTTTATTTATATACAGTTGAAATACTGCTCGTCTCAATTGAAATCTTAATTAATTAGTCATTATTTTTTAAGAAAACAATAGCACTTGATGTAGGTTGTCAACTTTTTTTTTTTTTTTTTTTTTTATTAAAAGCGAAATGAAGAAGGAAGTCTAAAGTAAATTTGATAAAACTGCTGCAAGCCGAAAATTATAGGTTTCAAACCCGAATTCTAATCTTAATCACTTTAAATAATCTACATCTGTTTCATGAAATGATTAATATGTTATTAAAAATAGCCATTGCTTGGTTAATCACACAGATTTTGTTAAACTAGTCATCAATGGCCAATCAAAAACTGTCTGGTCATCGATAGGCCAGTCACAAACGTTTTCATCCACCTATTTTTTAACTATAAAAAAATTAACTTCAGTCACGTGACGTCATCCAAACAAGAGACACCACTATTTTTTTGGAGAAGACAGAGCTTTAAGATATAACCAAACTATGAGAAAAGTTTGGAGTTCGACATTTTAACACGTATAAATACAATACAAACCCCCATAGAGCAACAGCTAGCTGCACCTCCAACTCTTTGGCCATAAGCTGGTCCTTTAGGTCTCCTGTAGAAAACTGACTATGATTAGTCAGGTACAATGTCATAATAGCTCGATGCGTCTCCAGGCCCCAGCCCCATCTGTTATCACGTTGTGACAACAGCCATGATCTTCCCCGCTCGATACTTTCAGGAATTCCAACCACGTCACATTTTAATTTGTCTCCTATAAAAAAAAAACGTAAATATTTTTACTTTGCTATTTTTGAGAACAACTCTAACTGTGTTTCAATCACACTGTATTCGTCATATCTATTGTTGACGACGCGTTTCGCTCAATCCAGAGCTCGTTAAGTCAACTAGAATACAACAAGCGCAGTAGTGGTTGGAACACTATTTACATAAGCTATTTGTTATGATAACAGTCGTTATGGTGCGAACGCCTTTTCCAATCTGGCCAGTAATGATTATTATTAATTATACTTGTTGTAAGACATTAGTGCTAGGCCTATTATATTTTTTATCACCACATTCTTTATGTAATCCTTAGAATTTTCAAAAATTAGAGGAATGTATAATAACAGCATTTCAGCCACACTTTTTTCACCAAATTCATGCTGATGGCACGTTCCCGTTCAATAATATTTGATTATCGTGTTTTTTTGTCTGTTTTAACACAAAACTACGCCATGGGCTACCTATACTGTGTCCACGGCAGAGGTTGAGCCTCAGATTATAGCGTTATAAGCTTTAAAGCTTATTACTGATCCGGCATTTTTTTTATTTTTTTTACAAAGATACTCAAAGGTTATCTGCACATAACAGTCCCTAACTTTGATTTGGTAAGACCAGAAGGAAGACAACTAGTAAGCATCACACTGCCAACTGTTGAGTTACTCATGTCCGACCGAGTATAAATCTGACTGTTACTCTTATAGCGCACCCATGTCTCCAAAGTGCGGAGCACGAGTTTTGCGACAACATGTCACGAAACATAAACCCTCGGACCCACAGTCTATGCATTTTAGACCCTAGGCCACGCGCGATCCGTTCATAACTTTGAAATAATAGAATAGAGGGGAGATAGCTGATCAACAAATAGTGGGATTGACCGTCACAACATAACGGATTAAAGGACGAACATGTTCTGCATCAAACAGTTCTCTGCAATATAGTTTGTACTTTGCACTCGTATTGAAAAAAATGGCCGAAGTGAGGGAAAATGGGTATAATTCTAAATAACAGAAGGAAACATTCTGTCTGATGCAACAGACGGACTTTCACTTATACAAACGTCTGAAACCCCCAAAATAGCGTACTTCTCTTTACAAAGAGATACGTGAATGTGAATGAATTTGTAAATTTAATTCATATTATTTACTATTATCAATATGTGAGATAACCTCAACATTTATGTGTGTGTGTTTTGAAATAATTATGTGTGTATTACATTTCAGACTGAGGACAATCGTGTGCGAGAACAACAACCACGTCCTAATATATAAACGATCCTGACTTATAGAGACGTATAGATAGATGGCACTGCTACAGCATCTTTGTTTTGTCATCATCTACTTTAGTTTTTCATTTTAAGGTAACTAGATAGAGGTGCAATAGCACGTGCTTTCACAAGTTCCTCTACATATTACTGTCACTTCCTGGATGACTGCCATTCTCAATGTGATACGAGAAACTAAAACATTTGTTTTAATTGGAAATAGCGAAGTTACGCAATTTCCGGTCCTGCAGATTAAACTTCCTTTTCTAATTCTATCTAAAAATATTTCTTGTCTTTCACAACCGGATGTAACATCCACGTGTCACTTGACGTTACTTAAAAATATATTTAAAAACAAACAAACTTGGCGATAGTTTAACCCATTTCGACATCTTTGTCGCTCATGCGGTTAACTATGCATTACTTTTTTTACACTTATCAGACTTCTGTAACTATTACTCAAGAACTGGATATGGAAAAACAAAATCTATAAATAAAATAAAAAAGTTGCGACTTGTTACGATATGACAATTTTATTCATTTGAGCGTTCTATAAGTTCATAGATTGCACGTTTTTACTATGAAAATGTTATTTTATGATTAGAAGCAAACGGACTTAATGAAAAGAGTTCCGCATATTTGGCCCAAATGTTCAGCTGGTGATTTACGTATTTTGTAATTATTCAATTCTGTATACAAATCAGTGTGTGTATGTGTGCATGCTAAAGTACCGGTATCATGTTCAGTTTCTACACCTGTACAAATACCTATTGTGTAAGCGACAACCTGTAAATATTTACGTCGAAATAAACTTTGTCTGTAAATAAGCCGGTTTAATAAAAACAACAACGATCGTGTTTCATCATCATTATTGAGTGAAAAATGAAACGGCACGTCAGGTGGTTTTTATTCCAAAGAGAAAACGCAAATACAATTTCTGATAAGTTTGATAAAAAGAGATAAAAAAAAAATGTTTACTGTTGATAAATCAGTCCCTCTTATTTCTTAAATCCGGGAACACAGTTCAAATATCCCATTGAGAAGCTTTAAATAAATCACAACAAAATTTTGGAAATATCGCAACCTAATAATGATAGAATTATTACACCAAATTATGTGATTTTTGTAGGTCGTAACTAAATATTATTTATTAAACTCGTATCAAGTTTCATGCAATTTGTTTAATTATTTCTACAGTGAGAGTTCAAAAAAAATAAAAGAACGACAACTCGGTTTAATTCCCACTTTCGTCAGAAAAGGGTTTATTTTTTTCGAAAATACTAATTTCAAATAGAAGAAACTGCTATCCTAATTAACTAGAACTGTTTTAAATTAATTTTGATATACCGCACTAGTTTAAGGCTTAAATTACAAACTATACAATAAATTTCTAATCTTCCATGTTCAATCAATATTTTTCTTATCTTTTTTTTTCCAATTCCCAGTGGTTCAGCGGTAAGAATTTTACAACGCTAAGAATCGTGTTTCGATACTCGTGGTTGGCAGAGTACAGATAGTCCACTGTGTTGCTTTGCGCTTAACAACAACCAAACCTTTTATATATATATATAATTTGTATTATTAGCAAGTATGATGTTATTGGTTATCAATAATAATTAATATTTATTTGCATTTAAGTACAATTATTTTTCTGAATATTGCACAAAAAATTACTTTCACAAAGGTGTAATCTATAACTAAAACTGTCCCCAGTAGCTCAACGGGAAGTGTTAAAGCTTATAACGCTAAAAACTGGGTTTCAATACCTAATGTGGCCACAGCACAGATAAGCTGTTGTGTAGCTATGTTGCGTTAAACTACAAACAAACAAACAAACTAAAAGGCTTACACAATCGAGGTTCTACATTCTTGAAAGGGGATGGGAAAGAGAAGGAATATTAGATGGGCTGAAATTATACAACAATTCCTACTGCGACAAGCAAGTTTATCTTTTCAAAATTCTTCTACTTGGGACATATAATTAGGGTAGGTTGATAATGATTGTGATGATCAATAAAATATAATCTTTTTATACGCGCGCCACACACTTGGTATTGTTGGAGCACAAAAATCATAATCATTAGCTGAAATTCCTTATTATGTTTGCTTGGTTGTCAGGGAGACACACTGACACAGCATCACCAAATTTTGTCCAATTAGAACAACTGTATAATAACTCGCATGTTTTACCCGCAGCACATTTCAATTTTGAAAATGCCCAAATTAAAGTGCGCTTCTTCAGCCCAGCAGGCTAATAAAGCCAAAACCAGGAAGTCAGTCCAAAGAGAAGACCCCGAAATTCATAATAAAGTTCACTGCTTTTACCATCACAATTAATAATTTCCAGGTCGTACAGTTGACCAAGTAGGAATATATATTTGAGAATCAGTTTTTCGTATGTTTCAATCTATAAGAATTTATCAACAAGAACATTTCAACAAAACCCACACGTATACCAAAGTCAAAATGATAATCAAGCAATACTTAAAGGAGATGACCAAATATACGTAAAAAAAAGTTTTCGTGAAATACTAGAAATAGCATAGTCATTCTCCATACATATATTGTTGTTAAATTAGAATTAATTGTTAGAAAATCTGTTCTTAAAACATTAATTTCGATATAATTTTGAGAAGAAAAAATTAATCATTATTTCCCGTCAGATTATATTTGATAAAGAGATAAATTAACACTGTAATTTGTGCGCGTTTTTTAATTTTGTTTAGTTAGGACTAAACTTTTCTGTACTTAATACTATCGATAAATAAACTTATAATGTTATTCTACGACCTAACCTCAGACCTTTCTGAAAACTTTAAACTTTGTGTTGTTGTACAAAATAGTTAGTAAAGTATATTCACATACTCCTTTTGTTCTCACTTCATTCGTGCAGCAGTTCCCTCAGCTTTGCTGTTGCCTACCACAACAGGCTGGTTGTTGTCAAATTCATACTGCGCCTGCGCGGCTTTTCTTGGTTAAAATTCTTATTGCGCATGCGTACGGACAAACAATAATAGGATTATTCACGGTCTACCTGTGGTTTGAGTATATAGGTTGCATAATACCATGAAAAATACTGTCACAACAACATGTTAGGGAGAAAAATACACGAAATGACTTATAACACCAAGCCATCGAGCAGAGCAAATAAAAAAACATTCGTAATTTTGCTAAAAGAAATACATAACTTATATTTTTCATAGTCGAATCCAAAGAAATACGTATTAACTTTCGCGAATCTTCGAGCACAATTTTCAGAAGGAGAACTTTTTTAAAATAAAAAAAAATACTCGTGTAATAAGGACTTTGTAATTATATTTTGAACTAACAAAAAAACACCCTTTGTAATTGATTTGTTTTAAATTTCCCGCAAAGTTACTCGAGGGCTATTTACGCTTTATATATAAACATTCACTTATAACAGAATCAGAAATTGTATCTTATTTTATTGTGCTTTTTCTCATTTGAAATGACAGCAAAACTTTAATATTAAAACTTTTTGTTTGTGGATCATTAACTCGGAAATCTACCAGATAAATCCAAGTTTCCATGTCGGTTTTTACATTTTGAATGTAGGTAATCAATACATTCCATAAAATTCAAAGTTACTGAAGTTCTTAGAGGTATAGTTGTTAAACTTGTTACATTCGTGCCCTTTTTTTTTAGCCCTGTCCTTAACTACAAACAAACAATACACAACATTCATAAAAAAAAAAAACTGTGGTGGCTCTGAGGGCTTGTAACAATAAAACACAAGATTATATACCCCTGGTAGGCAGAACACAGATAGCTCATTGTGTATCTTTGAGCTAAACAAACATACAAATTCATAATAATAATAATATAATGAAAAGAAGAAGAAAAAAAAAGATTACGTACCAGACTCTGCCGCCATGACTAGTAGGCTTATTACTGTAAATATAAGAAGGAATATCTTCATGGCCAGCAATTTCTTTACTTATCTATCTAGCATTGGAAAGAGAATAATCACAATAAACAAATAAACTGGTTATTATTTAGTAGTCCAGATTATTATTTATTTAAAGAATCATAAAGAAATTTGTTTAAAACATTCATTGTCCAAATACTCCAAACATTTCCAGTCTTTTGACGATCTGTGATTGTTGCTTCTTGTACACTGTTATGAACTAAGCCTATATCTTATCGTTTTTATTAATTTTTTTATAGATTTATTATAATTTTCACTCCTAATAACGGCTGGCGCTGAAATGAACTTAGTTTATTTCTATAGTTATATGTATACGAAATAACTGTTAATATATTTTGTAGTCGAGATTTGACCAAAGAAGTTTTAAAATTATCTACTCCGCCCGTTTTCAAGAAACTTTACCGATTATGCCCAGTTTCAGATAATTAAAAAACTTGAATATCTAAGATTTTGGATTACAATGTTTTAACCATTGAAATAATTGAATTATTTATAAAGTTTTACATGCAACTTACTCGGCTCCCTTTTCCACTCTCTTAGCCTTTGACTATGAAACACTGAACAAATGTATTTATATTCATTCTTACAAGGAAATAATACTTTTATTCCTGCCTTCAACCAATGAAATGCTGCTCCGCCTATTTCCAGCCCTTTGAATCCCTGTTTCATTGGAGGTAGATTATGAATTAGATGTTGTTGAAAAACAAGCATATGGTTCCTTATTTCATTTCCTCCTAGAATATAAAACTGGTATAAAATTAGGCTTATTTATGAGTGGTGTTCGAAATATTCCTAATGAGTAATCTTGTGACATCGCTTATGGGATAACAATAAAAAAGCGTTAATATACCTACGATCTATTATAATAATACTCAGTTTTCGTCTGTCCTAAAAATGCGCGCGCACTTCATTTCAACCAACGTAAACAAAAGGCGGATGTAAATATACATTGTAAATAGACATTTTGTACAATAACATATTTCAAAGCAAGTCAAATTTTTGAAAAAAAAAGGTCTAACGTTAGGTCGTAGAATAATATTTTAAGTTTATTTATTGATAGTGTTAAGTACGTTAAAGTTCAACCCTAACTAAACTTAAGCAAAAAACGTACACAAGTTAGTGTTATCTCTTTAACGAATATAGGCCATACTTAATAAAGACTTAACTAATAAGTAATATTAGGCCTAAGACAAGTGGATTTACAGATTTCGGTGTCACAGATTAAAATTATTTTGTATTATTCTAGAAATCCTCTATTTGAAGAAGTACTTTGGCAATAAAGAAACTAATTTTGACCGCAAATGCTTTACTGGTCTCTGGTAGCTCTAAACATAACGGAAAAAAAACGAAGTGGGATAATTTAAACTTCGAACAATAACGTTAGAGAAAAAACTACCTCTACTCACCAGATAATAATAACTATTTCAGCCAACGTTTCGCCATTATGGCTTCATTAGAGCTTGTAGTACTTTGTGCTACGTGGTATGTCGAGTAATTAACTATATATATTTTTGCAAATTAATTGTCTAAATTCATCCAGTATGCATTACAAAATCGTTGAAGGGTTCTGTCAAGCCTTTTTCTACCACCAAAGTTATTTGTGTCCTATTATCACAAGTATTAGGGGGGGAAAATTATCGCGAAATAATAATAAAAAAAGCTATGTAGAACTGGCTACTGCACTTGGAAAAAAGAAACAAACAAGATAGGGTTGGAATAGGACATATCACTTGATCCGACTAATGATCTTAAAGCAGACTAAGCCGTTTCGACTTTCTATGGAGAACAAAATCCCTACAATACTGGTTTCCCCTATTTTGTCTATTGAAATGTTGGTGTTTGAATAGAATCTCAGCTTTCATCATTATACCTTTCCTTTAGTTAACTTTACAATACTACTTTTATCACTAGTTTACAATAGAGTAACATTTTACGATTGGAAATTCTGGTTCTATTTGTTTTCCAGTGATGAAGTCAGTAATGTAGGAAGTTAACTCCCCATGTAAAGTCAAGACGGCTTAGTCTGCTATATGATCATTAGCCAGATTAATTAATATGTCCACTTTCAACCTTATGTTGTTTGTTTCTTTTTCCAAGTGCAGTAGCCAGTCCTACTTAGCTTTTTTTTATTATTTAGCGATAATGTTTTTCCCTAATACTTTGTTTACTTTTTTTTATAAGATGGTGTACGTGTATTACTGGGTGATAGAGTGTATTCTAAAGCTTTATAAAATTTGCATCGAATAATTATAAAATAGCTAGTCAAATATCGTGAATACTGTTTTACTCCATCAAATGATGATAAAAATTATAGTTACTGTTAGAACTACGTAGACGCTAGGCCTGTTGAAGAAATATGATGATGAACGGAAATAGGAAATCTCGATTTTGGCTATTCGCCGGTTTTAGACTTTAAGACGCTCTGCATAGCTGAAAAGCGGCATATACACCGGAGATAGAGCAACTGTGCCAGGTAGTTCTTCATATCTAGCTTCTGATGACCTGTAGAGAAGAAAAACGCCCCCCCCCCCCACGTGGCAAAGCGGTATGTCTGTGGACTTACAACGCTAGAATCCGGGTTTCGATACTCGTGGTGGGCAGAGCACAGATAGCCCACTGTGTAGCTTTGTACTTATTTACAAACAAACATAAATAAGAGAAGAAAATCCAGATTACTTTTGTATTATTTTAATACGGGCGTCCGTGCCATCCCTACACAGAGTGCTAATGCGCTCTCCGATAAACTAACTTTTTCACGGTTATATTTTCACTACAAAAGATTGACACCTTTGTTTTTCCCCGTCACCGAACATTCTCAACCTTTCAGCCGTGGGGACGTTGTAAAGTCACTGTCAATCCCACTATTCCTTGGTAAAAGAGTAGCCCAAGAGTTGATGAGTGGTGTTGACTAGCTGCCTTCCCTCTAGTCTATCACTGCTAAAATTACGGATGGCTAGAGCAGATAGCCCTCGAATAGTTTTGCGCGAAATTTCAAACAAACCAAATCCTCTGTTTTCAAAAATAATTTATTTTTTTGTATACTTTCATAGAGCTTTTGAATTAACAAATTCAAAAGTGTCTTTCTATCTAGAACTTGGTAACATCAAGAATTATCTGACGAAGAACTGTTTTTCTGTCAACGTTATCACCAAGATTATGAAGAAATACTTGTGAAAGTGAGTCCCCTATCCCCAGGCACTGGAGTTTGATGTTACATAAATACCTCTAACAGTGGTCTTGCCTTTTATGAGTTCTTTAAGTTTTTAAAATAAAATAAAAACAATTGAACTTTTAAAATCCTCATATTGACAAATATATCTGAAAGTCATCTTTAAGCCTCGTTTACTCATTAAATGTTTTTTTTTTCGACGTGAAAAAACCGATTCCAATATGGCCGTCGTATGTTGTTTACCAGTTTAGTCGTACGTCGTGTAAACAGATTTATATATTGATTACACGTTACGCCACCTAGCGATTTGAATCAAAGATCATCGAAGTTTACTTTAAGATTATCTTCGTTTCCAGTATTTACCTACACTAAAATAACGTATAACGGGACCCCTAGCGATAAATAATTTATCATTCTTTCTTTGGCTTGGTTTGTTTTGAATTTCGCACAAAGCCACACGAGGACTATCGGCGCTAGCCGTTCCTAATTTAGCAGTGATAAGACTAGAGGGAAGGCAGCTAGTTAACACCACTCACCGCAAACTCTTGGGCTACTCTTTTTACCAACGAATAGTGGGATTGGCCGTATTGGGATTTTGCTGAGGAATTCAATAGGGTGGTTTTAGGTACATGGATTATTTGGAAAGCTTGTCGATCCCTACTATTAAGTACCACCGTACTGAATAATAAGATGCAACATAATAAGCACTTATAATGGCTGGAGACGGCTTGAATGGGTAATGAAGAAAAACTTTAATATAAGTTTAACATAACAGCACTTGTACATTCGATCAAACACGTGCGATAGGACGTACATCTGTTTATTTACTTTTCTGCCAGGTGGAACTATCAGGAGTAGGGGGAAAGAACTACTGGTTTAAAGGGCAGTTGGTATTACTGGTAACACGAGTAGTTCTGTGATGTACGTAATGGGTACGAACGCATACTTTGGAATAAATAAACGTCGACTTTCGTTGTAAACAAATTTTCGAAAAACAATATTATAGTTGAATAAAGTGATGTTAATAACGTAATCAATTACCAACAACGTATTTTAACCCAAATAAATCAATTTATTTTATCTATTAATTTCCTATACGGTATTTTACGGCTCGTGGATTTCTCTTAAGAGTAGTCAGTTGTGACCCACTAATTGGAGGTTCGAATGATACGAATTGCGGAGTGTGTGTCTGTTTATCTTTCCTATCTCCGAGTTCGTCAGGAAGAAAAGAGTCGAATTACGGAAAATGCACAAGAATGATATAAAGTAACAATGAAAACAAGCATTATTGTTTTTGTTATATAAGGTTATGTTTTCTCAGTCTGGAACAGAGATCTTTCTCTCATTACCATAGGTTAACACATTCTTTTGAATTGTTTTTGTTAAGTGATTAATAAAGACCATTTCATTTTGTTACTCGTTTTGTCCAGTCTCTTTCGTTTCTTCAAACTCAGTTAAAGTCAGAATTGAAATTTGTTTCATAATATGTTTCAGGGGCATAGCTAGTAGGAGGTCCCCCCCCCCAAAAAAAAGTGGACTTTTCTTGTACACAACAAATTAAGTGACTTACATGAAAGTTAAGTTTATAAAAAAAAAAAAAATCAAAGGATCTTTTAGAATA